AGTACTGTAGGAAACCAGCTTAAGTCAGTTGCAAAAACACAGAGATAAACTTACCGCTACATTTTGTGTTAGAGAGGAACTGCTTAAACCAAAGCGCTGAATGTTTCGGGTATCGTTTCAAAGTTGTGTAATCCACGTAATAGAGACCAAATCTCTGGCTAAATCCGCTATCCCACTCCCAATTGTCTAGCAAAGACCACGCATAGTAGCCACGAACATCCACACCGGTTCCTGAGAGTTAAAAAAACTACAGTTTAGACGAGAAATAGTTTTCCTCGAAAGAACTAGGCCTATGGAAGCTTACGCGATGGCTTGCTGCAAGCTCGTGAGATACGACTCATAGAACTGAACCCTTGCATCATCCTTTATGAACCTGTCGCTAAAAGTGTTCGAATCGGCAACGTCCACCAATCCTGGAAAATTGGACCTGAGAAAACCAGTGACAAGAATGACAAGCCCACCATTTTCCGTGATGATAATCGGAGGATTGTTGTAGTTCTCCTTGACGTGGTTGAGTATATTGTAAAGCCCCCAAGGTACAACATAAAGCCAGGTCCCAGTCTATAAATCAAACAGACCCAAGATGAGGATCAAGAAATTAAAAGAAGAAACAAGTGTTTTAGAGAATTGTTTACCGTGCCTCCGATAGAAATCCCGTTTCTTTCAGCTGCAAAATTGAGCTCGTGAGGTAAATTCACAAGGAAACCATCAATCTATTGCTTACTTAGAAAGTGTGTATGGGAGTCACTCTCGTAGCCGGGACGAACGTTGCTAGGCCATGGATTGTCTTGAGTGTATCGAGAAGTGTAGTGATTGAGTCCCACAAAGTCCATGGAGTTTCGAAGATCTCTCGACTCTTCGACAGTGAAAGCCGGCAAGCGATCCCCGACGTAGAGACGCATCGACTGTGGATAGTCTCCAAACGTAATTGGATGCAAGAACCTGCCAAGAACTGAGAGTTCACTCGGAGATAAAACGGAGAAGATTTTCTTACCATCCAAGTTCAAAGTCGAGAGCTCTACGAGCAGCTGCGATATCTCTCGGAAGACTTGAGTATGGTTCATACCAAAACGAGTCTAACGGCTGT